ACATAGTGAATTATATTTTAATCAATAGCAATTATTAAAACTTAGACCTAAAAGTGAAGAAGAATTAAAAGGAAATTTTATAATATATCAATAACATTTTTTAAATAGATTTCTAGAAATATATCAAAATGAGTGTATTTTATATAAAAAAATATCAAGAAGAAACTGATAATTTTAATAACCAATTTTTTGAACTCACTTACATATTCTTACATAATCTAATAAATTTAACAAATTCACAATTTAAAGAAATAATACATAACCAATTAATAAAAATAAAAATTATACCACTAATAATAACATTAAATACAATGTTAACATTACCAGATGATCAATATCAATGTATTGAAAGAATAATAAGAACTCTAGGTCTATTAGATGGGAAATATTGTCTATACTTCTTTATAACGGGATCTACTAAAAATGAAAAATCATATGTTACTCATTATCTATTACAAGAATTTCAAAAAAAAATAATCCTTATTTACTACTTGCACCAACTGGTGTTGCTGCACAAAATATAGGAGATTATATAATACATTCAGCCTTAAAAATTCATGCTGCAGAAGGTGGTTTTCAAACGTTAGCATTTAATGATAAATCATTCAAAGAAAATTTTAAAAAGATAAAAATTCTTATAATTGATGAAATATCAATGGTTTCATCTAAATTATTTAGCTATCCTTTAAATATATTTTCTAAATTACATAATAATTCACAATCATTTGGAGAAATAAGTATTATAATCTTAGGAGATCTTTTTAATTACCACCAGTAAATGAAGATTGTGTATTTTATTTACCTATATAGCAATTATTTTACCCATTTTTCTTAAAACAACCAAAAAGACAAGTAGATGATCTTAAATATTATTCACTATTAGAAAATATTAGATTTGAAAACATAGCAATTATTAAATAAAAAATACCAAGAAAGCTCAAATAATTTGTCATTAAATGATATATTAAATATAATTCATGTTGCAGGTTACAAGGAGACAGCTGAATAAATTAACACTCAAATTTGTAATACTTTGAATATGAAATTAAATATTTTTCATTTTCAATTGGTAAAGGATATCATTAATGGAGAAGTATAAGAACATGGAAGTTCAGAATACTTAATGAAATATAAAACAAACTTACCATCTTTTATAAGATTGCAAATAGGATGTTGAGTAATGTGTCTTAACAACAAACATATTATTAAGCAAATTTGTAATGGTAACATTGGTATTGTTACAGATATTGACAAAAATAGAGAAATAGTAAGTGTAGCATTTTATATAAACAAAGGAATTATTGATATTGAAATAGAACAAGAAACTGCACATTTCAATATTAATGGAATACCAGCATGTAGAATTCAATTTCCATTACAAAATGCATTTGCCTTAACAGTTCATAAAACACAAGCGATAACATTACCACAGACCTCACTTTATTTAAATAATCAAATGTTCGCGCGAGGCCAATCATATGTAGCTTTAAGCAGATGTAAATCTTGGAATGATATAAAAATTTTAGCTCTTACACCTGATGCATTTTTAGTTGATGAAAGAATAAAGAAAGAATACATTAGGCTAGAGAAATTATCAGAAACTAGATACCTATTTAAATCTAAATATTAATAAAATTATTTTTATTAAAATACAAAATAAAACGGGTGGGTGACGTAGTCACCCGCAGTGAAAATCAAATCCTAGTTTACTCCGTAAGGTGATTTTAATAGCTTAGCTCCCATATATTCTTATAAGAATTTTATATTAGTTAAGTCAATACGTTGCTGCAAGAAATTTAAGCTTTAATTAAACACCGTAATTTTGTTTGATGAAAACTCGAATAAAAATAAAAAAAAATCGAATTTCAAATTATGAAGTTCCTTTTATTTGAGTTATCAATTTTCAAATATTTTATTATAAATAATACTTGTCGTCAAATGATCATAACTAATTCTCTCATTGAACATAATGCATTTATTAGATGAGCGGGTCGACCTAATAATTAAAGTAGTAATGATTTTGCATTTCGAAAGTAATGTTCAAGAGGTCAGGTAATGGAAAATGATATTTATTTATAGGAAAAAAAAATAGAAAATAAATCAAAGTATTAAAATTAAAATTCTCTGCATTTTATCCATCAATTCAAAAATTGAATAAGCACATCATATCTTTTTAGCTAACATCATCTTTTCGATTTAATTTGACTATTTCATGAAATAAGCAGCAGTTTTAATCCGCATCAATTTTTGTGAGCAAAAATATTTCACAAACCTCTATATCAAATCTATCTTTAGTTTCTCTAATCGGCTTCTCATAATCAGACATTATACATTTATTACCATAATTTTGACTTATTGTAAGATCTGAATAACCAAATGTTGGACCGTAATCATTCCGATTATAAGTAGCACGCTGTTCATTCATTACACGGCTTAAAATATGATTACTTATATCATTATCCTTAAATGAGAATATAAAACTTTCTCTAGTTCTATCATATGAAGAGAATATACCAGAACTCCATGCGATTGGATTATACCCTCCAAGAATTTCGTCGCTTCCTTTCACCTTAATTATCGAGACAGTAGGAAATTTATCGCCACAAACTTCATGAAATAAATGACCAGGAAGCCTACCTCGTAAACTAATTAATAAATTGAAGTCATATGAAGCAGCTATCTTGTCTGTAGTTTCTAATTTATCGATCCATTTTGAAATTAATTCTGCATGCTGAAATGTAATAATACTTGATTTGAAATTAATTTTTTTATCTGATTCAATCGTCAGATATTTAATAGAATTGTCAAACAATTCTTCGGGTATAATTTTCTTATATGGATAAACTTTTTCCAGAAATTCTTTAGAAGCAAATTCAAGGAATTTAATCAGAGGAATAAATTCTTTTAAAGCACATTTTAAGCTATTGAAATCATCTTGTGAATAACTAGAAGGATCCGAGGAAAGATTTGGATTCTGAGCAAGACCCCATTTAAGTACATAGTCCCAAACTTTAGATGCACTCATATTGAGGTTATCGTTTTTAATTAATGAGATCAAAACTTTTTTTGAAACTGAAATAAAATAAGGTGATTCAAAGAACGTCTCCGATTCATTTGAAATTAATTCTGTACAAACCGCTCGAAGTTCAAGATAAGAATCACTTTCTAAACTTGTTTGATACATCAGATGTAAATTTTTATCCGACCAATTTCCTTTGTTTTCAATCAAAATAGATTGTAAATATGGGATTAACTCCTGAAGTTCTAATTCATTGGCGACAATCAAGGTTTTAACTATTTCCGAAGCATCAAAACCTTCCAAAGAAAGTCTTCCGTCGTAAATGTATCTAGAGGTAGAAAATTAAATTTGTAAATTTTTAAATAAGAAGTAACATCAAATAATAACTTTATTACAATTTACCTTAAAATAATTTGAAAATTTTCAGATGAAAAGTTTGGTAATTTAACATGCATCAAAGTTTTATCATCCTTCCTTTGATTATTTGACAAAACTCTTCGAAAATAAGGGGAACGATAATATAAAATATTCATATGAGCACGAAATATTTTCACATGAGGGTCATTACCAACTTCAATAGTAATATCATAATATTCGTCATCTTCTAAAATTTCTAACATGTTTCGGGATAACTTTAATAAAAATTTATTTCTATCCATTTCATTGATATTTTTTCTCTTCATTGATACAGCTCTTGATTAATTTATTATTGGTAATTATATTTTGTGAAAATGGAGATGTAATTGATGATGTAATAAAAGCTTTATTAATATTAGGTATGTGTTGTAGGTTGATTAATCTTTGAGAAATAAAGTACGTGGGTATTTTATATGCGGGGCGGGCTTCATTGAATTACCAGTTTGAGTAGTAATGATGCAATAATCGGTATGTGCATAAGTCACCGGGTGACTTTTGTCCCCCCCATTGTATATGTATTATTTTTTTGCTGATCTTTTCGATAGTAATAATAGAAGTTTAAAAAAAGTTGATTTTAACTCCGGCCGAAATTCATTTTCGGCCAGAATTATGATTTTTATGTTTGCAGAAATATTTGCTAATTCTGGCAAAATTTATCATAGTCATAAGTTTCAATGACCGGGTAATTAACCAACGAATATTTTATCTTGTTATTTAACCTGTTATTAACGAATATTTAACCGAATTAAATATTTTAAAGAATAACGAATAACAAATAATAAATTTAATATAAATATTTTTCTTAGTTAAATTACACGTCTAATACTGACACAAGTTGTATTCTCAGAATATGATAGATGAACAGTAATTAAGTATACCCATCAATTATAATTTCTTTTTTATCATTTCATAATTCTTCACTACGTATATAAAGTTGATTTTAAAAATAAAATTTTGAAATTTACTAATATTTTTAAGTTATTGTGTTATAATCAAAAATTTTGAGGTATATATTTTTTATCAATTCTTATATATAAAACAAAATTATAAAAATCAAAATAAATTCATTACTTTTAGACAATTGGAGTTTAACTTAGCTTAATTTATAAAAATTCTAATTAGAGGCCTGCATAAGTCCTAATTTTGAAGCCCGACTTTAAGTCAAGTCAAGTATTAAAATAAAAGTCCGCCCAACTTAATATGACAAAAGCGGTGCGAAATTTAATATTATATAACATTTTTTTTTATTTTCAAATACCAAAAATAGTAATATAAAAATATTTCAATATGTAACGCGACAACAATAAATATATGTTTGCTATTAAAATCACTTTACGAATTGTTCGTACTCGATTTTAATAGCAAACCTCCCATATGCCCTATAAAAAATGACACTAAAGAGTTTTTCCATTATTTTTCCCATATATGTTCGTGAATCTTATATGGTTAAATAATCAAGTTGGGTTTATCTGTAATGCACATATAGGAACGGAATCAAATTGAATGCAGAACATTCGAACTTTGGGAATGAAATTAAACGGAATGAAATCAATAACTTTTGGAGTAGCTATTTTAATCGTATATGCTAGTAAATAAAATATGGAGAGAATATTATAAATTAACAAAAAGTTAAAAATCTTCGAAAATCGAAAAATTTAGATGATAAATAAATATTTAGTATAAATGAAATATAATCTATCATATGCTGATGATTCCATGCAAGCAATCTGAAATTCCTCATGGAATTAAATATATTAATATAAATAAATTCAACAAAATATAATTTGAAATATGAAAGTACCGTCCCCTTAGTCGAGTTCTGTTAAGTTGGCTTTCAAGTATCATTTCTTTTTAGATTTTATAATAACTTCAATTAGAAGACCGAATTATCTGAATCTAATTCTATTTTCTCAATCATTAATTTGGTATTCAAGAAACCCAACTTTTCTGTCAATTGCACTAATATTAATTACTTTGAGTGCCGGAACTTTAATGGACTATCCAAAAAGCTGGGGTTTCGTACTACACATATGCTAACATGGACACCAATCTTGCAAATAATGAACATTCACTTTAATTTATGTGGTAGCCGGACATCTAACATATTTATGAATATTGTAACTCAGTAATGGCCTGCAACGGGACCGAATCCAGTGCGGGTCTGAGCTGGCAATTATTAGATTAGAATTTTCCGACCGTGTCCGGGTTCAAATTACTACTAATCTGGCAAAGTTATAATTTAGTCGCTGTATTTTATAATAAAATATGGTAGATTGCTATTATGTTTATAACTCGAATTTTAATAGCAACTCTCCCATTTATTCAAATCATTTTCGATTTGCCAAAAATGGATTATTTTAAACAATAAAAAATATTATTATTAAATTAAAATATTTCATTAGGACTTATAAACATGTAGCATTTTATAAGTATTAATTTCATGACAATTGTTCCTTAACATTGCCAAATATATATTCAATTTATAATTTTATAGTATATTTTATTTTTAAAAAATATTCGCTACCAAATAAACCTATGATTTCTATTTTTGCAATAGTATGAATAAATATCTATTTTATTAGATATTTATGCTTTTTATTCTTTTCAAGTATTTTAAATTATTTATGACATTACTTTAGCATCGCAAGAAATTTAACTTTGATTTTTTTTTAATATTTATTTTGTTTAATAAAATTCAAATTAAAATAAATCATTTCATTTTAATATTAAGTTGTTTCAGCATCATATTGTTCATAATTCAAATAGCAATATTATGAATTCATACCATAAGATTCCTATTTTAATAATATTTTCAGCGAGCAACAACTTTCATTAAATAACTTTCGAGTAAAAAGATATGTCAAATAATGATATTTATTTATATAAGAATCAAATAAATTAGAAAATAAATCACAGTAATAATTTCATAATTCCCTTCAAATAAAGAATAGGATAAGCGTGACTACTTTCATGAAACAAATTGCAATATTAATCCGCATCAATTTTTTGTGAGTAAAAATATTTCACAAATCTCTACATTAAAGCTAACATTAGTTTCTCTGATAGGCTTCTCATAATCAGACATGACACATCTATTAGCACCATATAAAGAACTTATGTAAAGATCTGAATAACCAAATCCAGGACCATAATGCATCCGATTATATGTAGCATGCTTTTTATTCATTACACGACTTAAAATATGATTATTAAGATCATTCTTATCTTTAAATGAGAATATAAAACTATCTTTAGTTTCGCCATAAAATAAAATTCTATTAGATTCCCATTTGATTGGATTATAACCTCCAAGAATTTCGTCACTTCCTTCCACCTTAATGATCGTGACAGTCGGAAACTTATTGTCACACAATTCATGAAATAAATTTCCTGAAAGCTCACCTCGTAAACTAACTAATAATTTGAAGTCATAAGAAGCAGCTGTCTCGTCTGTAATTTCTAATTTATCGATCCATTTTGAGATCATCTCTGCATGTTGAAATGAAATGATGCTTGATTTGAAATTAATTTTTTTATCATATTCAGCCGTCAAACATTTAATTGTATTATCAAACAATTCTTCGGGTATAATTTTCTTATATGGATAAACTTTTTCCATAAATTCTTTAGAAGCAAAACTAAGGAATTTAATTAGAGGAATTAATTCTTTTAAAGTACCTTTTAAGCTATTGTAATCATCTTGTGAATAACTAGAAGGATCCGAGGAAAGGTTTGGATTCTGAGCAAGACCCCATTTTAGAACATAGTCCCAAACTTTAGATGCACTCATATTGAGGTTATCGTTTTGAATTAATGAGATCAAAACTTTTTTTGAAGCTGAAACAAAATAAGGTGATTCAAAGAACGTCTCCGGTTCATTTGAAATTAATTCTGTAAAAACCTTTTTAAGTACAAGAAAAGATTCACTTTCTAAACTTGTTTGATATACCAGATGTAAACCTTCATCCGACCATTTTTCATTGTTATCAATCAAAATAGATTGTAAATAGGTGATTAATTCTTGAAGACCTAATTCATTAGCGATAACCAAGGTTTTAACAATTTCCGAAGCATCAAACCCTTCCAAAGAAAGTCTTCCGCTATAAATGTATCTAGAGGTAGAAAATATAAATTTGCTGAAATCTTTAAATAAAGGCCAACATCAAATAATTAACTTTATTACAATTTACCTTAAAATTACTTGAAAATTTTCAGGTGAAAGGTTTGATAATTTAACATGCACCAATGTTTCATCATTCTTCTTTCTATTATATGACAAAACTTTTCGAAAATAAGGAGAGCGATAATATAAAATATTCATATGAGCTCGAAATATTTTCACGTGAGGGTCATTACCAACTTCAATAGTTATATCATAATATTCATCATCTTCCAAAATTTCCAGCATGTTTTGGGATAACTTTGGTAAAAGAAAAAATGTATTTTTATCCATTTTCATTGATATTTATTTTCTGTAAAAAATGCGTGGGAAAATAAAATAGGTATTTTTTGAAAATACAGTATTTATATTTGGAATGGATACCGGATCCGCGTTCAAATGATGAAATGATCGGCAAAAATTTAATGTACTCCCTGAAATGATACTCGCACAAGTCAAACTTTCGGGTAAAATATTAACCTGATATTTTTATGCAATGTAAATTTTATGAAGTTTTAGCCTAATTTTTAAATATAATGTATTATGAAATAAAAAACAGGTTTGATAATTTTGTTTAAGCGAGAATTACCTTTAAATAATAAACAATGACTTAAGCTTTAACTATATTGCTTGAGTTACATTTGACATAAAGATTAAAATTTTGATAAAAGGAAATGTTAATCAAAAGTTGAATAGAACGCATTAAGATAGTTGTTTTTAATACATAAATTTAGTTTAATATGCCGATTGCATAATTACATATTGAAGATCTTGCTTTTTTTTTATAATATTTTGATATCACAAATAAACTTAAAATTAAGTTTTTTTATATCCCGATTCATAAAAATATTTGGACATTAATGACATATTGAGCCAGCCACACACTTACCATAATTTATATTATTTTTTATTATTTGTTTATAATGTGTGATATATTAAATAGTTTAACGTAACAAAACCCTTTGGCCAAATTTAATCAATAAATAATTACCGAATCATATGATTCATACCATTATTAATTTTTGGAGAATATTTTCCTGACTTTGGTCGTAATATTCCATTTATCAATAATTATCGAAAGAAATTTTTTGTCAAAAGAATATAAAGATAGGTGTTAATGGCCATGAAAATGTCCTATTAGAATCTGAATTGAACAAATTAAATGTCGTGTTGCAATAACTCATTTACATAGGAATTGTTGTGTAAAGAATGTGATCTTAAACGTATGGAGTACTGATATTTGATAAATCATCAAAAATGCAATGCATGATACAAGAATAATAATCTGAAATTCTCGAATGTACCTTTTTGATAAATTCATAGCGATAAACGAAATTTGTCGAGGATATACTGCAACATGGATCGATGGTAAATCATTTTATAAAGATCAGGACAATGGAAATTTGAAAAAAAAGAGAGACTTGCAACGGGCTGGGTCCGGATACTTGGACCGGACCCGGATTCCGGGTCCGATTTAAAAGTACAACCCGGATTTTTTTATAATTCTGGCAAAAAAATTAAATTTAGCTGCTAATTATATTTTAGAATGAAGTATGCTATTATTGTTTGTCAATTACCTGAACCCGGGTGCAAATCGCCATCCCATACCTTAGAGTGTAATTTACTATTCTAGATTCCACGGTACTTAACTTCTTTATGACGTATTTATCGATTATTAAATGTAAAGAAACTTTTGAAACTCATGATGATTTTGTACACGCGATAAAATCATATGAAAACTGGAGTATCGCGAACACTTTTTTCGCCAAGTGTCCGTTTTTCCATTTTTACTATATATTCCGGACTTGGAGATTTTTCCGTATGAAATATTTATTCTATAATTTCGACCAAGTTCAGTAACGCCGGCCAAAAAATCTCGCGGGGTGAAGAAAGTGTTGGAGATAGTTTCTTTTATTCGTCTTGGAAAATTAAATTATTAAAAAGTTCTCAAAATATATGAAATATTCTACAACTGTAAAAGGACAATATTATGTGCCCATTCTGGAAAATCCGAACAAATAAATATAGTTGATCCAACGGAAGTCCATAATAGAGCTTCACAACGTTGTAATTTAGGTGCATTATAAATTTAAATTTAAGTCATAATCACTCAATGCTTATCGAAATTTTGTGTTAACTGAAATTTCTATACCAGATGATGTTAAAAAAAAAGAAAGAAAAGCCGGCGGTAAAACTCCAATAATACTGTGGTTATATGGAAGTTTGCAGGCTGAGAATTTTTTAACAATAATTTAGGTTAAAATATAAAGTTTTAATTTGTCAAAAAACAATCTCAGAACCTGATTTTCCTAGCAAACTTCCCATATAATGACGCCACATTTTGTTGAATTTATTAGATAAATTGAAGTTTTAACTGGTTTAGTGAAGCTTTATAGTTAGTTTCGAAATTAAACTTAATTTTATAACAATTACAAAACCAATAGATTTCACATTCATATTAACAAGAGTAAATAACTTTGGACAAAGTATATGCTTTGCAAGATCTTTAATGGTATGAATCCCTTTATTCTTGTTAAAACGAGATTTGTTTGAAAAATATCGAATAAAAATTATGAAATTTATTATTTGATAATAAATAAATGGCAAATAATGGAAAATAATCTTTTTTTTTCTATAAATCAAAAAGTAACATTAGAAAATAAGTCGAAATATCAAAATACATAATGATCCTCCAAATCTCCATTAAATCAAGAATAATAAGCGCACATCATATTATTTCACCTTCCTTGTTTCAATATTTGCTTTCGACTTTAATATGACTCAAGAAACAAGCAGCAGTAACAACCCGCATCAATTTTTTATGATCAAATATATTTCACAAATCTCTACATCAAAGTCATCTCTGGATTCTCTGATCGAATTTTCATAATCAAATTTTATACATTTATTACCATAAATTTGACTTATTGTAAGATCTGAATAACCAAATGTTGGACCGTAATTAATCCGATTATAAGTAGCACGCTGCCCATACGTTACACGGCTTAAAATATGATTACTTATATCATTATCCTTAAATGAGAATATAAAACTTTCTCTAGTTCTATCATATGAAGAGAATATACCAGAACTCCATGCGATTGGATTATACCCTCCAAGAATTTCGTTACTTCCTTCCACTTTAACGATTGATATAGTCGGAAACTTATCGTCACAACATTCATGAAAAGTGGGACCTGTAATCACACCTCGTTCACGAGCTAATAATTTGAATTCATATGAAGCAGTAATCTCGTCTGTAATTTCTAATTTCTCAATCCATTTTGTGATTAATTCTGCTTGTTGAAAAGTAATAATACTTGACTCAATTTTAACCTTTTCGGATTCGATATCTGATTCACCGACATTTGTTTCACCGCCGTTCAACAAAGATACAATCGTACTATCAAATAATTCTTCGGGTATAATTTTCTTATATGGATAAACCTTATCCAAAAATTCTTTAGAAGTAAATCTAAGGAACTTAATCAGAGGAATAAAATCTTTTAAAGTACCTATTAGGCTATTGAAATCTTCTTGAGAATAACTAGAAGGATCCGAGGAAAGATTTGGATTCTGAGCAAGGCCCCATTTAAGTACATGATCCCAAACTTTAACCGCACTCATTTTGAGGATATCGCTTTGAATTAACGAGATCAGAGTTTCTTTTGGAACTGAAATGAAATAAGGTGATCCAAAGAACTTTTCCGGCTTATTCGAAATTAATTTTGTACAAACATTTTGAAGTTCAAGATAAGATTCACTTCCTAAACTTGTTTGATATATCAGATGTAAACTTTCATCCGACCAATTTTCATTGTTTTCAATCAAAATAGATTGTAAATAGGTGATTAACTCCTGAAGACCTAATTCATAGGCGATAACTAAGGTTTTAATTTTATCCGAATTATCAAAACTTTCCAAAGGAAGTTTTCCGCCGTATATGTATCTAGAAATAGAAAAAATAGAAAAAAATAAATTTGCGAAATTAAAATAAGAAGTAAATTAATATTATTACAATTTACCTTAAAATTATTTGAAAAATATCAGGTGAAAAGTTTGGTAATTTAACATGCACCAAGGATTCATCATTCTTCGTTGTATTACCTGACAAAACTCTTCGAAAATATGGGGAGCGATAATGTAAAATATTCATATGAGCTCGAAATATTTTCACATGGGGGTCATTACCAACTTCTATTGTAATATCATAATATTCGTCATCTTCCAAAATTTCTAGCAAATTTTGGGATAACTTTGGTAAAAATTTATCCTGAACCATTTGAACTTTTTTTTAGAAGAAAAAAATACGTGGGAAAATATATTAGTATTTTTTTTTTTTTGAAAAAATATATATATATATTTGTACGAATCCGGTTTGGTTTGCGTTCTCATGATGAAATGATCGGCTAAAATTTGAAATTTGTTACCTTGTACTCCCGAAATGAACTCGCACAAGTCAAACTTTTCGGGTAAAGTATTATTCGATTTAACTTGATAGTTTATATTGGATATTAAAGTTTCATTCATCACTCTTGCGTATTCTACGAGTTCTTCAGCTAATTTTATTTTGAGTGAAAGCACGCAAGCGTATTATACTATATATATATATATTTTTTAAGCGAGAATTACTTTATTAATAGCTATTTCTTTAAGTTTTTAACTAAACTATATTGCTAAAGGCTAATATATTGATATAAAGGTTCTAAGGTAAATTTTATTAGAAGTTTAAGGTAGTTTTTTTTGGAAACCTTATTTTTTTTTTTAACTTGATACTACGTTTCATTTATTTATTTTAAAAGGACAATCTTTTTTAAAGAATCTTTTTGTGAAATAAGTTTTTTTTTTATATCCCGATTTATCGTAACTTCACGGGTTATCGGAGATTACCGTGAAGTTACGTTATAATTATCCGATTCAGATTAAAGGTTCGGACGAAACCTGATAATTACGCCCGACCCGAATCCGAAATCTAGGCGATATTAGTTACGCCTCAACAAAAAATTTCCAAAATGTCCGATTGAGTCCGATACTGCCCAAATCCGAAATTCAATCCGAAATTCTCTGAAACTTAATTATTCACGTGAAAATTAAATATATAACATTATGGGTAAGACAAACATTAATGCATTCGCGTCTTACAAAATGGAGGCTAATTCAAGTACTTCAACCGATGATACTTCATT